TCCATTGTTCCATTCTACCAAAGTCATAGCTATTTTGCTAGTATTCCTTCTATTCTGTCGATTGAGTACAAAAAACTGCCCATTTACCTATTTCAGCTACTCGATAAAGTGGTCAGAAATCGGTAATTTGGCCAATATCACACAAATTTCAAGAGATGTCAATTTCAAAATAGGGTCCTGAATAAACAGTGCAGACATTCCTGGCACTAAAATAACATTTTCTCTGTTCATTAGTCATGTCTCCAGGCTCCTCTTATACAGAGGACCCCCGGATAACGTAATTAAACCGTTCCAGAGTCTTATACTGAATCTGACTTAATCCAAATTAATTTTCCCCATAAAAAATAATGGAAATCCAATTAATCCATTCCAGACAACCAAAATATTAAACAAAATAATTTTTTACGTGAAATATACATTTCTCTACTCAGAAAACAGAGAAATGCAGAGTAAAACATTACTAAAATGACACTTGCCTTTATTGAAGCCTTATTGATGAGTGATGAGATGGGACCGAGGGGAGAGGATGGAGGTGTACTATTGTTTGGAAGGGGAATCCCCTTCCATAAAGACTTCAGGTACAAAGTCCTTTTCCAGGGTTACATCCCTTTGTATTTTAATGCCACTAGGACCAGCTTGAGTCACTGCCTCAGTAACAGAGTTCTACTTGACAGTGAAAGGGTTAAGAAATACATGAAAGTAAAACTAAGTACAGCCTCTCCTCACTTAACCCTTAAACTGTCCAAACGTAGATCTACGTTTTTTTCAACATTTGAAAGTATGTAAAAAAAGTACATCTTTTTTTTTTTTTTTTACATTTGAAAACGTGTAAAAAAACTGATCTTTTTTTTTTTTTTGTTATATTTGAAAATATGTAAAAAAATGTAGATCTACTTTTGGAGCACTACACATGTGAATGTAGATCTGCTTGGACAGTTTAAAGGTTAAGAATGGAGTTTCGTTACTAAGACCATGTCAGTAAACAAATTCGTTGCTAAGTGAGGAGCATACTGTAATGGTAGTGGGTTTGTGTCAGTCATCTTTGATATTATTTTAATGTCACCTTTGCACCATTTATAACATTGCTAGTATATTTTTAAACATGTATACAACCTCTCCTCACTTTGTGACACACTCGTTTAACGACGCCTCGGACTTACAGTGGACGCTCTGACCAGTATTCATACATAATGTATATTAGAGCTTATTTCATCTATTATGTTTATTTCAATATACAGTACACTACTGTATAACCATTTAAAAATATACCAGAAGTGTTAAAAATCGTGGAAAGGTGACATAAAAACATATACTGTACAGTGGATCTCCGGTTTTCGTATGGTCCGCATATCGTACAATTCAGATTTAGAACACTTTTTGGGGGGAAATTTTGGTCCAGATTTCGTACCTCGGTCTGGAAATCGTACGTATCATATGCGTCCACCCGCCCGGGAACGCTGTCAGTCTGGCTTTGTCACTGGTTGAGTGAGCATTCATCCGAAATATTTCGCAATTTTTTATTGATTGCGGTTGCCAAATAAGCCACCATGGGCCAAAAGAAAGTTCCTAGTGCCAGTCCTATGGTAAAGGTGAGAAACACGATAGAATTCAAGAAAGAGATTGTAGAAAAATACGAAAGTAGCGTACGTTTAGCTGAGCTTGCCAGGATGTATGGGAAATTGAAATCAACAATCTGTTCCATTCTGGCAAAGAAACAGCTCTGGACAGATTTTTAGTGTGACGGGTCCAGTGCCAGTAAAAAACAAAGAAGGGAAGTAACCCCAGAGAAGGATTTGATAACTGAAGTCCTTATGGAGAGGGATTCCCCTTAAAAACAACCAGAACTCCCTCTCCCCTCCTCGCCTTCTTCAATACACCAACAAGAATCCAATAAAGGTACATAATGTTCGTTTATCATTAAAACTTCATTTATATTTATTTCTCATAGTTTTCTTTATGTAAAACTATAGTTATTCTTTTAAAAAATGTATTTTTTTCTTTTTAACATTTTTGGGTGTCTGGAACGAATTAATTGTATTTACATTATTTCTTATGGGAAATATTAATTTGATTTTCGTACGTTTCGGTTTTAGACTGACCTGGAACAGAGCAAGTACGAAAACCGGAGTTCCACTGTATGTTAAATCTGTGTACACTTCTAGGTTACTTGTTCATACATACATATACAGTGGACCCCCGGTTAACGATATTTTTTCACTCCAGAAGTATGTTCAGGTGCCAGTACTGACCGAATTTGTTCCCATAAGGAATATTGTGAAGTACATTAGTCCATTTCAGACCCCCAAACATACACGTACAAATGCACTTACATAAATACACTTACATAATTGGTCGCATTCGGAGGTGATCGTTATGCGGGGGTCCACTGTACTACATTACTGTACAATACTGTATACATACATATGTTAGACTTGTGAACAAATGGATTTGGGAACGACCACCCGGAACCAAACCTGTTCGTAAGTAGGGAAGTATGTATTTGTATTGAATTTTTACATAAACTGTGAACATGTTACAGTACAGTATTTCAAATTAGTACAAAATGACAATGTACTGATCATAAATATGAAAAAAGTAGGAAACTATCTGTACTATACAGTATAGTATGTATTTTTTTTTTTTTTTTTTAAACATTCCTGATGAATGGAGTATTTATTCTTTAACAAATCTAAACACAAATGCCTTCTCTGGATTTCATCATGTGTGTTGTATGTAACCTGTACTACAATGGGATCAGGGTAATGTGTATGAATTCAATTGGAATCTTTGACACATTGCTATGGGCACAATAAGAGAACATTTTGTCAGCATACATGGTTCCTGACTTTTTAACATCTTGCCAGTAGATATCAGAAACAAAGCTGGAACAAGTGTATGGACGTTCTTAACCCTTTCAGTGACCATCGTGTAAAACTACGTCATTGAGGTCAGGGTCTTTCACATAGTTCTACGTCATGAGCTCTGCTCACTCAGATAACCTGTTAATGGTAAATTTTGACTTAGATATGAGAGAATAGGTCTTTGTGGTGCACAGTATAAAAAAAAGAATCCTGCCCACACAGTGCGTGGTGGTAAAAACAAAACTTTCCCTGTTTTGTTTAAAATAGCAACTTTGAGTTGTTTTCTTTGATGGGTTTATTGGCAGTTTCTTGGTATCATTTGATAAAATGTAAGTCATACTATTGAATTACATAATTTTGGTTGATAGTTTCAGGACCAAAAGTAGCTTGAAATTCCTCAAAGTAGCAGAAATATTTGAATTTTGCCAATTTTCCTGAGGACAACTATGGCGTCTCAGTTTAATGGGTTTTTAATAGGTCTGATTCAGTTATGGGGAAGCTGCAAACCATGACAAATCATAATTGGTTATATTTTATTATCTGGGAATGAGAGTAAAATCTGAGATTTATGAGACTATGAATTGAAAATGGAAGGCAAGCTTAATAGAGAGGCCTGGGGAGATGACTAATGGATAGAGGAAATGCTTTAAAGTGCCTGGAATATTTCTATTGTTTATTTTGCACTATTTTTAAATTGGTATTTTTTAATTGTGTAAAATTGTCCAAATACGGACTTCTGTGCACTTTCAGAGTTGTAATAGTTCATGAAGTGGTTTCTTGTCATCAATCTATCTAACCTCACCTGTTTTTTTTTTTTTTTTTTTTTTTTTTAGCTGAGAATTTGGTCAAGTGGAACAATGAAACTGACTTAAAATAGGACTTGAAGTTGGCAAAATTGCTAATGCATAAATTGCGTAGCGTCTGCTGATTTTTGTACCAGCACAAGTCCATAAGTTTTCTTTCAAATTTCGTGCATGTGGTGTAATTACTTTCAGGAAAAGATTCTCCCATTTCAGAAGAAAACAGTTGTTTTTAAAGTGAACACTGAGAGCAATATTAATTTCAGGAGTTTGAACAGTGAAGGGTTTAATTAGTAAAGTAAAAAATAATAAAAAAAAAATTAAAAATGGAAAGGTAAAACCCAGGTTTGTTTTTAACATCCCTGACTTATTTAGCTTTCTTCCTATTTTGGTTTATGCTAAGACTGGCCTTGCCAATGTCAGGCAACCCATTCCACACATTTGTCGCTATATAATAAATGTTTAAGACTTGATCACCTATTGTAGGTACTGTACTACAAAATTGTGTTAATTTCATCCAGTACTTGCTGGTGTTTCATAGCTCAATTGCTACCACTGAGCTCACACAGAGTTCCGTGGTTTGATTCCAGGTACGGGTAGTAACATGAGAACATGTTTCCTTAAGACACCTGCTGTCCTTGTTCCCCTAGCAATAAAATAGCTCCCTGGGTGGTTAGCCAACTGGTGTGAGTCACATTCTGGGGAGAAAATTGGCCTAATTTGCCCAAAATGCTCTGCACAACAAGGGGCTTCCTATGTATGTCAGTAATATTGGCAATGCTTGTATACATTGTACATGTACTTGTAGAAATAATTTTGTTTTAAGAGCAAAGTAGCATGAACAGGAATCATCTACAAGACATTATATAAATGCTAGACATAGGGTCCTGCAAACCCCATTAAGGAAGCACTGTGCTTCTTTACTACATTATTCACTATCAGCTCTCCTGACATGAAAGGATCAAAGGGTATATCCAAATATTTCATTGAAGGGCCATATGTTTTGATATGAAATTTTTTGAGTTTTGGCAAGGTTTCAACTTTTTTAATCATTTTACTAAGTGGTAGAGCCTTTGTTTAAAAATGCTGTTCTGTATAATGTAATCCATCTGTAAGTTTTTTGGTTGCTTCAGTTTTTATCTTGTTAGTTATTGCTTGCCATTTAGGATTGTGCAGTACATATACTGTATTTGAGGACTTAAATTTCTGTAAATAACAAATTTCTTTACTGTATACCAGTATACTAAAAAGTATTTTTACTTGTTTTCAGGAAGTAAAGATGAGCACATTTTGGTCTGAAAGTGGATGTATTCTGTTCTTTATGAGACGGTTTGGATGAGCATTCTGCAGGGTGGCGGCTAAAGAGTTAAGTCTCTTATCGCCACAACTTGTCCAAGCTAATGTTAGACTCATTGGCATTGGACTAGAGGAAACCGGTTTAGAGGATTTCGTAGCTGGTAAATTCTTTGATGGGGGTAAGTAACAGTGGATCGTCTGTAAATTTGGTAAAATAGGGCTGTTTTAAATACAGTCTCTCCTCACTTAGTGATGTACTCATTTACCAATGACTCACTTACTGCAGGCTCTCTAACCAGTATGCATACCTAAATAATGTATATTAGAGCTGATTTCCTCTATTGTTTATACAATATACAGTATACTATTGTGTAAATATTTAAAAATATACCAGAAATGTTATAAATGGTGCAAAGGTGACACTAAAACAATATCAAAGATGGGTGACACAAACCCACTACCATTATAGTATGCTCCTCACTTAGCGACGAATTCGTTTACCGACGTGGTCTTAGGAATGGAACTCCATCGTTAAGTGAGGAGAGGCTGTACTAAATTTTTTTTTACAATCTTTCCACTGTTGCACCCAAAGACTCGTTACTTGCTTCTAGAAATTTAACCATATCTTTTAATCTTTAAACTGTGCATGGTTGGACACATGACATCCAGGTATTGAGTTTTTTTTTTTATTAGAAAATAAAAATAGCAGATATGCTAAGCCTTTCTTGGTTATTTTTGGTGAACCATCCTTGGGCAACAACAGTACCCCCTTTAGTGGGCCTGCTGGCACTCTTTGACTGGTGAGTAATACATTGTAACATTCTAAAGGAAATCTTTATCCTTACTAGTTGCTCTATGTACACATTATTATTCATAAATACAAAAAAAAATAATAATTAGGAATGTACAGTAATATAAATAAATATTGTTCTTTTATTGTTTTGAAGTCGATAGCTCTTGCTGGCATACACAAAAATAAAGTCAGTCTATCAGTACTAATCTTCAGATAATTGTAGTAAACTTGAAATCTAAATGTAATCATCAGTTCAACTGTATTAGCATTAATTAAATCTGTTTTAGTCTGCCCGGATGCATAAGCATAGGTTTTTCTCAAGCTTTTCAAAATTGTTTTGTGATTTTGTAATTCTGAATGAAAGTCTGTAATGAAATACACAACCTACACAGGAGAATGAAACTTACGATGATGTTTTGGTTCGACTTGGGGCCACTAAGTAGTCACACAGTTAATATGAATAATTAATGGTCCAAGTCAGACCAACTTATCATCACAAGTTTGATTTTCCTGTATGGGGGGTTATTTTTGTATTGTTCCAGTCATGGTATTGTGCCTGTTTATTCCATAATGTGTTTGTGTCCCTTGTTAGTACTGCTTATACACCTTGAATTTGTTTGCAGAGTTGTATATTGACACTGAGAAGAAAAGTTTTAAAGACCTCAACTACAAGAAGCTTGGGTATCTTAGTTTAATCCCTGCTCTTCTCTCAAGAGTAGCAAGAGAAGCTATGAGGAAGGTACAGGTTCATTTTATTTAGTATTAGCTAGACACTGTTGCTTAATTTCTCTTGTTCAGTCATCTATATACTTTAGTACCTGCAATTCTCTCAGATCTGGAAATAACTGTATATAAAACTATGCATTTTTAGATTTAAGTGAAAATTCTAAGTATTAGAAAGTCTGTAGAATTAATCTTGCTTGTACACATGGCCAGTGCATTAGTTAATAATACTGTATACTATATAGTGGAACCTTGACTTAAGAGTGTTCCAACGTATGAGTTTTTTGCGATATGAGCCGTCACTTGGTTAGTTTTTTTGCTCTGAGTTACGAGCCAGCTACCCCCTGCTTTCCCCTCAACCCTTGTTTATCTATGATTTCATGCTTTAATTCCATGGAAATCATCCTCTTTTTCTTCTCAGCACTGTCCTTTACATTTACTTTCTTAGGACCCATGCTTAGAAAATGAAATTTAGCCAAATGACTGTCAAAAATGTAAGCAAAGCATAAGAGAACTGCTCCCACAGCGAGGTAAACAGTGCACCGAGTTGGCGGCATTCGTTATTATTATTATTATTATTATAATAATTTATTTAGGTAGTAGGTTGGTAGACAGCAGCCGCCCAGGGAGGTACTACCGTCCTGCTAAGTGAGTGTAAAACGAAAGCTTTTAATTGTTTTACATGATGGTAGGATTGCTGGTGTCCATTTTTCTGTCTCATAAACATGCAAGGTTTCAGGTACGTCTTGCTACTTCTGCTTACACTTAGGTCACACTACACATACATGTTTTTTTTTTTTTTTTTTTTTTTTTTTTTTTTTTTTCAACAAGTCGGCCGTCTCCCACCGAGGCAGGGTGACCCAAAAAAGAAAGAAAATCCCCAAAAAGAAAATACTTTCATCATCATTCAACACTTTCACCACACTCGCACATTATCACTGTTTTTGCAGAGGTGCTCAGAATACAACAGTCTAGAAGCATACACATATAAAGATACACAACATATCCCTCCAAACTGCCAATATCCCAAACCCCTCCTTTAAAGTGCAGGCATTGTACTTCCCATTTCCAGGACTCAAGTCCGACTATATGAAAATAACCGGTTTCCCTGAATCCCTTCACTAAATATTACCCTGCTCACACTCCAACAGATCGTCAGGTCCCAAGTACCATTCGTCTCCATTCACTCCTATCTAACACGCTCACGCACGCTTGCTGGAAATCCAAGCCCCTTACCCACAAAACCTCCTTTACCCCCTCTCTCCAACCCTTTCGAGGACGACCCCTACCCCGCCTTCCTTCCCCTATAGATTTATATGCTTTCCATGTCATTCTACTGTGATCCATTCTCTCTAAATGACCAAACCACCTCAACAACCCCTCTTCTGCCCTCTGACTAATACTTTATTAACTCCACACCTTCTCCTAATTTCCACACTCGAATTTTTTGCATAATATTTACACCACACATTGCCCTTAGACAGGACATCTCCGCTGCCTCCAACCGTCTCCTTGCTGCTGCATTTACCACCCAAGCTTCACACCCATATAAGAGTGTTGTTACTACTATACTTTCATACATTCCCTTCTTTGCCTCCATAGATAACGTTTTTGACTCCACATATACCTCAACGCACCACTCACCTTTTTTCCCTCATCAATTCTATGATTAACCTCATCCTTCATAAATCCATCCGCCGACACGTTCAACTCCCAAGTATCTGAAAACATTCACTTCTTCCATACTCCTCCTCCCCAATTTGATATCCAATTTTTCTTTATCTAAATCATTTGAAAACCTCACACCTTACTCTTTTCTATGTTCACTTTCAACTTTCTACCTTTACACACATTCCCAAACTCATCCACTAACCTTTGCAATTTTTCTTTAGAATCTCCCATAAGCACAGTATCATCAGCAAAAAGTAACTGTGTCAATTCCCATTTTGAATTTGATTCCCCATAATTTAATCCACCCCTCCCCCCAAACACCCTAGCATTTACTTCCTTTACAACCCCATCTATAAATATATTAAACAACCATGGTGACATTACACATCCCTGTCTAAGACCTACTTTTACAGGGAAGTAGTCTCCCTCTCTTCTACACACCCTAACCTGAGCCTCACTATCCTCATAAAAACTCTTTACAGCATTTAATAACTTACCACCTATTCCATATACTTGCAACATCTGCCACATTGCTCCTCTATCCACTCTATCATATGCCTTTTCTTAAATCCATAAATGCAATTAAAAACCTCCCTATCTTTATCTAAATACTGTTCACATATATGCTTCAATGTAAACACCTGATCTACACATCCCCTACCCACTCTAAAACCTCCTTGCTCATCCGCAATCCTACATTCTGTCTTACCTCTAATTCTTTCAATTATAACCCCACCGTACACTTTTCCTGGTATACTCAGTAAGCTTATTCCTCTGTAATTTTTACAGTCTCTTTTGTCCCCTTTCCCTTTATATAAAGGGACTATACATTGCTCTCTGCCAATCCCTAGGTACCTTCCCCTCTTTCATACATTATTAAACAAAAGTACCAACCACTCCAACACTATATCCCCCCCTGCTTTTAACATTTCTGTCATGATCCCATCAGTTCCAGCTGCTTTACCCCCCTTTCATTTTACGTAATGCCTCACGTACCTCCCCCACACTTACATTCTGCTCTTCTTCACTCCTAAAAGATGGTATACCTCCCTGACCAGTGCATGAAATTACTGCCTCTGTTTCTTCCTTAACATTTAAAAGTTCCTCAAAATATTCTCGCCATCTACCCAATACCTCCATCTCCCCATCTACTAACTCCCCTACTCTGTTTTTAACTGACAAATCCATATTTTCCCTAGGCTTTCTTAACTTGTTTAACTCGCTCCAAAATTTTTTCTTATTTTCATTAAAATTTCTTGACAGTGCCTCCCACTCTATCATCTGCTCTCCTTTTGCACTCTCTCACCACTCTCTTTACCTTTCTTTTACTCTCCATATACTCTGCTCTTCTTATAACACTTCTGCTTTGTAAAAACCTCTCATAAGCTACCTTTTTTCTCTTTTATCACACCCTTTACTTCATCATTCCACCAATCACTCCTCTTTCCTCCTGCCCCCACCCTCCTATAACCACAAACTTCTGCCCCACATTCTAATACTGCATTTTTAAAACTATTCCAACCCTCTTCAACCCCCCCACTACTCATCTTTGCACTAGCCCACCTTTCTGCCAATAGTCGCTTATATCTCACCCGAACTTCCTCCTCCCTTAGTTTATACACTTTTCACCTCCCTCTTACTTGTTGTTGCCACCTTCCTCTTTCCCATCTACCTCTTACTCTAAACTGTAGCTACAACTAAATAATGATCCGATATATCAGTTGCCCCTCTATAAACATGTACATCCTGGAGCCTACCCATCAACCTTTTATCCACCAATACATAATCTAATAAACTACTTTCATTACGTGCTACATCATACCTTGTATATTTATTTATCCTCTTTTTCTAAAATATGTATTACTTATTACCAAATTTCTTTCTACACATAGCTCAATTAAAGGCTCCCCATTTACATTTACCCTGGCACCCCAAATTTACCTACTACTCCCTCCATAACATTTTTACCCACTTTAGCATTAAAATCCCCAACCACCATTACTCTCACACTTGATTCAAAACTCCCCACGCATTCACTCAACATTTCCCAAAATCTCTCTCTCTCCTCTACACTTCTCTCTTCTCCAGGTGCATACACGCTTATTATAACCCACTTTTCACATCCAATCTTTATTTTGCTCCACATAATCCTTGAATTAATACATTTATAGTCCCTCTTTTCCTGCCATAGCTTATCCTTCAACATTATTGCTACTCCTTCTTTAGCTCTAACTCTATTTGAAACCCCTGACCTAATCCCATTTATTCCTCTCCACTGAAACTCTTCCCACCCCCTTCATGCTTTGTTTCACTTAAAGCCAGGACATCCAGCTTTTTCTCATTCATAACATCCACAATCATCTCTTTCTTATCATCTGCAAAAACATCCACGCAATTAGACTTCCCACTTTGACAATTTTCTTCTTCTTATTCTTTTTAGTAATCTTTACAGGAAAAGGGGTTACTAGCCATTGTTCCCGGCATTTTAGTTGACTTTTACAACACGCATGGCTTACGGGGAAAGATTCTTATTCCACTTCCCCATGGATATAAAAGGAAAATTAATAAGACCAAGAACTATTAAGATAAAATCAAAGAAAACTCAGATGAGTGTGTATAAATAAATGTGTACATGTATGTGTAGTGTGACCTAAGTGTAAGTAGAAGTAGCAAGACATGCCTGTAATCTTGCATATTTATGAGACAGACAAAAGACATCAGCAATCCTACCATCATGTAAAACAATCACAGGCTTCGTTTTACACTCACTTGGTAGGACGGTAGTACCTCCCTGGGTGGTTGCTGTCTACCAACCTACTACCTATACACATACATGTACAAGCATATATATATATATACACCACCTCTGGGTTTTCTTCTATTTTCTTACTAGTTCTTGTTTATTTCCTCTTACCTCCATGGGGAAGTGGAACAGAATTCTTCCTCCGTAAGCCATGCGTGTTGTAAGAGGCGAATAGAATGCCAGGAGCAAGGGGCTAGTAACCCCTTCTCCTGTATATATTACTAAATGTAAAAGGAGAAACTTTCGTTTATCCTTTTGGGCCACCCCGCCTCAGTGGGATATGGCCGGTGTGTTGAAAGAAAGAATAATAATTTATTATTATTAATAATACAGTGGACCCCCGGTTCACGATATTAATCCATTCCTGAGAGCTCATCGTAAACCAAAATTATCGGTAAGCGAATCAATTTTCCCCATCATAAATAATTAAAATCAAATTAATCCGTGCAAGACACCCAAAAGTATGAAAAAAAAAAAATTTTATCACATGAAATATTAATTTTAATACACATACTGAAGAAGACATGCACAGTTACATGACACTTACCTTTATTGAAGATCTGGTGATGATTGATGGGATGGGAGGAGGGGAGAGTGTGGATGGTCTTAGTGTTTAGAAGGGGAATCCCCTTCCATTAGGACTTGAGGTAGCAAGTCCTTTTCTGGGGTTACTTCCCCTCTTCTTTTAATGCCACTAGGACCAGCTTGAGTCACTGGACTTCTGTCGCACAACATATCTGTCCATAGAGGCCTGTACCTCTTGTTCCTTTATGACTTTCCTAAAGAGTTTCACAACATTGTCAGTGTAATAGTCACCGGCATGGCTTGCAATAGCTGTGTGAGGGTGATTTTCATCACCCTGTTCACAAATGATCGCTTGAGAGATGCTATCTCCTGCTATGTTTTTCATTTATCCACACCAGTAACAGTCTCTCAACATTTTCTAACACTTGCGGTCGCTGTTTCGTAATCACAGTTGCACCTTTTGCAAGAACAGCTTCCTTGATTGCCATTTTCCTGCTCACTATAGTAGAGATGGTTGATTGGGGTTTACTATACAACCTGACCAGTTCCAACACACACACTCCACTTTCATACTTTGCAATTATCTCTTTCTTCATTTCAACAGTCATTAGCACCCTTGGTCTCGAAGGATTGGCACTAGGAGCTTTCTTGGGGCCCATGGTGACTTATTTTGCAGAAACAAGCATCAAAAACAGTGATAATATGGATAATATGGAATGTACCGAATGTATGCTTAGATGCGCGCACACTGGCTGGCTTGTAAACACTGGCGCACACAGGGCAGTTCAGGCCACACGTGGACACGTCTCGTACACATTGTATCGCATACCGGGTTTTGTATCAGGAAGCGAGGCAAATTTTTTTCGATCAAATGCATTGGCTACCGGATTTATCGGATACCGATAGCATCGGGAACCGGGGTCCACTGTATAGGGAACTAAAACACAAATCCAATTCCCTAGATCAAGAGCCCCTCACCAGTGTCAAGGAACCTTGATGCTGGTGAGGGGCTCTTGATCTAGGGAATTGGATCTGTGCTCCAGTTCCCTAAATTAATAATAATACATAGTACCTACATAATACGTAATTCAGAATGCTGCCACTAGTTGGCACAGCTGATGCCAAAACATCTGGTAAGCAGTACACGTTTACATCGTTGTGGGAGCAGTTCTCTTGTGCTTGCTTGCATTTTTTTAAAGTCATTTGGCCAAATTTCTTTTTCCTAACCATGGGTCCTAAGAAAATAAGTGCAAAGGACAGTGCTAAGAAAATGACAATTTCCATGGAATTAAAGCATGAAATCATAGATAAACCTAAGCAAGGTGCACGAGTTGTGGACTTAGCCAGGCAATACCAGCGTAGTACATCTACGATATGTACGATACTAAAGCTGTATCAGTTATGTTCAGTGATTATACAAAACAAATTGTATCAGTCGAGTTCGGCGATCAAACAAAACAATGTTGTTGTTGGAGGTTTACAGGGCCACTGACATCATACGCCGCACTGTCAATCTCCCACCCTCAGCCTTGCCCACCCTCAACCTCCACCAACATCTCTGCTCGAAGTTTGTAAGTACATATACATTTTATATAAGCAGTTTAATGTTTCTTTACATTCTGTAGTGTATTATGATTTGTTATGTTTTTATATACGATATTTCTAATTTATAAATACATTGTTTCAATGTTTTCCTTAGAAAACTAGTGATCTACTGTAGTTAGCCTCACAAACACTCCATTTTTCTCTTACAGTAAGAGCATGGGAAGATACTATAGTCAAAGTGGGACAGGAAATGGCGGACGCTTCCGCAGCTGCCTCTGCCACCATCGCTCGCCATATTATGGCCTATTTTATTCATTCTAGAGTATATATCTTATTTCTGTGTTAATTACGTATATTGTTTATTATGTCATATTAGATGAATTGTGATAGATAGATAAATAAGCCGTACAGTTGATAATAGCGTCATATTCAAGTATTTTGTCTTGCCTCCAGAGAGCAGGAACGGATTAATGGCATTTCAGTTAATTTAAATAAGGAAAATTTATTTGATATACGAGCAACTTGAGTTACGAGCTAGGTCACGGAACAGGTTAAACTCATAAGTCAAGGTTCCACTGTACGTGCTTTTAGCAAATAATATAGATTGGCTAATTGCTGCATTCTATGCACAAAGCAAATACACGGTCACTAAATGACTATAACACTTATAGTTGATCTGGTGGCAGTTTCCTTAAAAAGGTAAGGTATTGTTTGTGTAATGACGAATGATGTGCAAAATTTTTTAGTAATATTTTAGTTCATCAGTCTAAATAATTAACTCGTCCTTCTCTTGTATTTCTGTGTCTTGTAATGAATAGTTTGAATATAATAAACTTAAAGCCCTCTCTTATTTCCTGTGTTTTTAGTAATTGCAACACTAAGTTATAAATTTATTATTGGCTGAATCTTTAGTTAGCACTATTTTAAGATTATTTTAAGTGTAATAAAAGAATATTTATGAAAGTGTACCAAGAAAGTTTGGTTACTGGAATGTCATGATGTTTACATACAGAGTAAGGAGTGGGCAGTTGGAGGAGACATGAAAGGAGATGGCTTCCAGAATGGAGGACTGCTGGTTGTGGGCCCAAAAGGAGAGAAGGTTCTCTATGAATTTAAACAAGAGAATCCTGCTGAGCATGCTGAGAATTCTGCTATTGCTAAGGTAAAAATGAGTACAGTATAGTAAAGCATTACATTATAATTTGATCTGAAGTTGGATTATTGTATAAATACTGTAAAATTCCATGTTTCTTTAGAGCTGGATAATGACATTGATCTAACATTTGTCAGTTATCCTGACATTGCAGTGACAGGCAAGTCAGTCACAGTAGCATTTTTGCCTGTAACAGGGTGTATGTTGCTCTTCTAAGGTTGTCCGAACACAAATTGTAAAAACTAATTTGTCTTGAGTGATTTGTATGTTTGCTGAGATATTGGTGTTTTATTGAAGAAAAGGTCAATAGCTTGTTCTTGCTTAGATCCACTAGATCATGTAGGAATGTAAGTTACCAGAGTTGAGGAGTTGGCTTTATTACAAAGCGTGATATAATGAAAAAGCTATGGTTAACATAATAGGTGGGGTTGGGGAAAATTATAATACAAGGCACTGAATGTATGCAGCCCTTGAACAATCAGTGAAAAAATATCCTCCAACAGTTGTGCTCATGTGAACAGTCTACTTCATATAAATTTTTAAAAATTTTTGTGTATACTTCTCGGCTTAGAAGTCAGATTTTTTTTACTCTAAGTACAGTTTCTTTTTCACAATCTTTAATTTTATCCTATGTATGAATGAGAATGTACTTAGTAAAATACTGTATAACTAAAAGTATTTGTCGTAGGGCGTAATGACAGTATAGTTTGTTGTACTATGTATTTGTAGATAAAAAACTGTTGAGTAGACTTCAGGATGTACATGTTTATAGAGGGGCCACAGATATATCAGATCACTTTCTAGTTGTAGCTACACTGAGAGTAAAAGGTAGATGGGATACAAGGAGAACAGAAGCAGCAAGTAAGAGAGAGGTGAAGGTGTATAAACTAAAAGAGTAGGCAGTTAAAGTAAGATATAAACAACTGTTGGAGGATAGATGGGCTAGTGAGAGTATAGGCAATGGTATTGAAGATGTATGGGGTAGGTTTAAGAATGTAGTGTTAGTGTTCAGCAGAAGTTTGTGGTTACAGGAAAGTGGGTGCAGGAGGGAAGAAGAACGATTGGTGGAATAATGATGTAAAGAGAGTAGTAAGGGAGAAAAAGTTAGAATATGAGATGTTTTTACAAAGTAGAAGTGATACAAGGAGGGAAGAGTACATGGAGAGAAAGAGAGGTTAAAAGAGTGGTGAAGCAGTGTAAAAAGAGAGCAAATGAGAGAGTGGGTGAGATGTTATCAACAAATTTTGTTGAAAATAAGAAAAAGTTTTGGAGTGAGATTAATAAGTTGAGGAAGCCTAGGGAACAAATGGATTTGACAGTTAAAAATAGGAGAGAAGAGTTATTAAATGAAGAGCTAGAGGTATCGGGATGATGGAGGGAATATTTTGAGGAATTGTTAAATGTTGATGAAGATAGATGATAAAACAACTGAGGCTAAATCATGTTTATAAAATTGCTCACAGTGTCCAGAATATCTTGCTGTCAATTTTGTCAAGGTTGGGAACCAAAGCAATCATAGTACTAGGGGGAGAGAGCACAACTTTGTAGTACCCACAGTCATTGGCCAGGCTTCAAACACCTTTTATTGTACAACAATAAAGGAATGGAACAGACTACCCGCACATGTCAAAGCCAGTCATAGCATGAACCAGTTCAAGAAGAGTGCCAAAAGGTGTCTGATGAATGTAGCCACAGAAAGGGAGGGGAATGATTTTCTGTTTTTTAGCTAACATACGTGTAAATTTTACCTTATTCCTAGTAATGACCCTCGTATTGTAGATAGTCTTAATGACCCTCATGTAGTAGATAGTCTTTTTAGTATGATAATAAGATGTTATCTTCATTATAGAATAATAAGAAAATATTATAACCTTTATATTATAATAAGGTAAAAGGACCCCAATGGAAATAAGTCACTGTCTGACTTTTTTGGGTTATCCTAGGTTCTCTACACATATGCTGCTATGTATGGTAATTCTATGTAGCTGTATTTGTGTATACCTGAATAAACTTACTTACTTATAGGGAAGCTGTGATTTCATGTATAGGGCAAGGAGGAATAACATCATCTAGGAGTGAGGAAGAGACAGTTGTGAGTATGGGGGAAGTTCATGAGGCAGTGGGTAGAATGAAAGGGGGTAAGGCAGCTGGGACTGATGGGATAAAGATAGAAATGTTAAAAGCAGGGGATATAGTTTTGGAGTGGTTGGTGCTATTATTTAATAAATGTATGGAAGAGGGTAAGGTATCTAGGGATTGGCAGAGAGTGTGCATAGTTAGTTCCTTTGTATAAAGGCAAAGGGGATAAAAGAGTGCAAAAATTATAGGGGAATAAGTCTGTTGCGTATACCTTGGGTAGCTTTAACCCTTTGACTGTTTCGGTCGTATATATACATCTTACGAGGTACCGTGTTTGATGTATATATACTCATAAATTCTAGTGGCTTCAAATCAAGCAGGAGAAAGCTGGTAGGCCCACATGTGAGAGAATGGGTCTGTGTGGTCAGTGTGCACCATGTAAAAAAAATCCTGCAGCACGCAGTGCACAATGAGGAAAAAAAACTCCGACCGTTTTTTTAATTAAAATGCCGAATTTATGGTCTATTTTCGTATAATATTAATGGTTGTATTCTCGTTTTCTTGGTCTCATTTGATAGAATCGTAAACATATAGAAATAGTGATTTTGATTGATTTTACTATAAAAAGAACTTGCAAATGGAGCTCAAAGTTTGGGAAATGTTTGATTTTTGCCAATGTTCAAAAGTAAACAAATGATGTCGTTGTCCAATCAGTGTCCAACTAGCCATTCTGATATGCAGTCATGAATGGGTTGATGTTATTTATACAATTATTACAGTATTGCAGTAGTCTGCATGACAGTAAATCTTCTATTTTTTTGTTTGAATAAAAATTCAAAATAGAAAGCAAGAGTAATATGAGAGGGGCCTGGAGATGTGACTGGTGAACAAAGAAAATGCTATTTTAGAGCCAGGAATGTCTGCATTGTTCATTCTGGACTTTATTTTGAAATTGTCATATTTTTTAATTTTCGCAAAATTGGCCAAATTGCAAATTTTTGACCACATTATTGGGTAGTTGAAATTGGTAAATGGGCAGTTTCTTGTACTCAATCGATAGAAAAGATGGAGTTCTATAGAAATAGCTGAGAGTTTGGTCGGCTGGAACAACGGAATTAGCCGAAAATAGGGCTCAAAGTGAGCGAAATTGCTGATTTGTAAATATCACCGAGGTCGCTAACTTTGCGAGAGCATAATTCCGTCAGTTCTCCATCAAATTTCGTTTTTTTGGTGTCATTACAATCAGGAAAAGATTCTCTATCATTTCATAATAAAAAATAATTTTTTTTTTTAAATTTTGCAACACCAGGAGACACCTCAGGATTGGGGGTTGCGACAGTCAAGGGGTTAAGAAGAGATTGGACAAATATATGAGTGGAAGGGGCTGGGATTGATTGGTGTCAGTGGGTACGGGAGTTATTTTTTGGGTAGCTTTACGTAGAGGTCGTTTTGATAAGGACCTGCCTTGCATGGGCCGGTAGGCCTTCTGCAGTGTTCCTCCATTCTTATGCTCTTATGTAAAGTGTATGGTAAATAAATGGTATAAAATACCGACACCTGTAAACATAAACACATATGCAGTTTAATGTGATCCTTTATTGACAACGTTTCGCCCACACAGTGGGCTTTTTCAAGTCATACACAGATCTACCTGGGGTGGAAGGTACGGGAGTATTTATAGTCAGATTCAGAATGTTGAGGTCAGGTGAAGAATGCTGCATCTGATGATCTACCGGGTGGGCTTATAGAGTCTTGGGTAGCTTGGCAGGGGTATTGGACAAGTTGTGAGTAGACCTTCTGCAGTGTTCTATGTTCTTATGTGGGATAGCGATGAAGAAGTTTCTTTGCAAGTGGTTCAGCTATGTTATAGAAGCCATTGTTCTGGTTGAAATTGTTGGTTATAGAGATAAGCGATGATTCCAGGATTCTTCAGTATTGAGTGTTGTCTTCTGTGGCGATAAGTCTTGAGTTTCTGTAGTTAATTAAATGGTTGTGTGAATTGCGATGTTGTACACAGGCATTCCTTGTATCGTCAGTCCTGCTTGCGTATTGGTGTTCTGAAATACGTGTTTGGAGGTCTCTTGATGTTTCGCCCACGTATAATTTGTTGCAGTCATTACAAGGGATTATGTATACTCCTGCAGAGGATGGAAGCTTGTCCTGTCTACTACTGGTGATGCCCTTGATGGTCGTGGTTGTGGAGGTAGATACTTGGAATGATGTATTGGAAAAGATGTTGGAAATTTGTTTGGCAATGGAGTTGGTGGGGAGGACTATGTATCTCTTCTCGGCAGTGTCTTCTCTGGGCGTGTTGAAGATGTTTAATGCCCGCCGTCTGCAGTCTCTGATGAAGTGACGAGGATAGTGGAGTTTAGAAAAATACTTGTTCAATTATAATGCATTCTTCCTCAAGGAACTCATTGCTGCAGATTCTGAGTGCGCGCAGGAAGAAACCTATAATTACACTACGTTTAGTTTTGGTGTCGTGGTGAGAGTAGAAGTGGAGAAGATCGTTTTGGTTGGTTGGTTTTCGATAGACCTTAAAACGAAGTTCATGGTCAGTTTTGCAGAGAAGAAACATCAAGGAAAGGAAGAGTGTTGTCGACTTCAAGTGTGAACTGGATTGAGGGCTCGACCTGGTTGAGCTTGTCTTGGAGAGCTTGAATGTTGAAGCGCCTGGGAGTTATGAGGAGAATGTCGTCAACATAACGGAGAAAGGTGACAGTCGAAGGAATAATGGTGGAGAAACGCTCGGGTTCCAGATGTTCCATGTATAAGTTTGCCAGGATGGCACTGAGTGGCAAGCCCATGGGTAGACCAAAGGTCTGTTGAAAGAGGCGATTTTCGAAAGAGAAACACGTAAAGCCGACACATAGTTCAACGAGGTCAATGAAATCGCTGGCTGGAATAGGAAGATCAAGTGAATCGTC